AAGCATGAGATCTTGGGTTTGATCTCTAGCACCTCAATACAGATAAATAAGAGTAAGACTGGGTTAATTAGTCTATAGAGTTTTGCTAGAATGGAGGCTCCATAAAAGCCAGCCCACGAGTGCTTTCAAAGTTAGAGGCCAGGCTACCATTTTCACCACTCCTTAAGCTAATGAAACAGGCTTCTGAGCCAGGGTAGTGGTTTGAAAGAAAATGGCCCCCAAAAGGGAGTCGCACTATTAGGAGGTGTGGCCTTGTTGGAGGAAGTGTGTCACTGTGGGGGTGGGCTTCGAGGTTTCTTTTGTTCAAGCTTCCCTCAGTGTGACTGTCAGTTGACTTCCTGTTGCCTGCAAGATGTTGGAATCTCAGCTGCTCCTCCAGCACCATGTCTGCCTGCATGCTGACATACTCTCCGCCATGATGACAATGGGCTGAACCTCTAACTGAAAGCAAGCCACTCCAATTCAATGTTCTCCTTGTAAGATTTGCTGTGGTCATGGTTTCTCTTCACAGCAATAAAATCCTAACTAAGAGCCAGTTTCCAACAACATTGCTTCCTTCCTTTCTCTCTCTCTCTCTCTCTCTCTCTCTCTCTCTCTCTCTCTCTCTCTCGTTTGTTTTGTTTTTCAAGACAGGGTTTCTCTGTATAGCTTTGGAGATTATTCTGGAACTCGCTCTGTAGACCAGGCTGGCCTCAAACTCACAAAGATCCACCTGCCTCTGCCTCCCAAGTACTGGGATTAAAGGTGTGTGCCACCAACGCCCAGCCCTTTCTCCCACCGCCCAGCCCTTTTCCCTTCTTTATTAGGTTTTTAGAGCTGAAGTCCAAGTGGCTGGGTGGCTTAAAATCACATAAAGGTCTCTCCTAACAGTTCTGGAGCTGAGAAATCTCAACCCAAAATGTACCATCTTTTAGGGGACAGAGGAAGGACATAATTCAACCTGTAATGTCCCCCTACAGGCAGCTCTCTGTAGGTCTGCCCCAGTGAACTTTAAAACAAACAGATTCTTTCAGTGTTCACTTATTGATTTATGCACAGGAGCCATGGTGTGCGTGTGGAGATCAGAGAACAACTAGCTGTAGTCATTTCTTTCCTTCCACTATGTGGGGTCCTAGGGATGGGACTCAGATGGTCAGGTTTGGCAGCAATATCCCTAATCCTCTCCCAATAAATTAAAAAAAATATGAAATGAGCCCTAGAAATATGGCTCAGCTTGTGATGGGCACTGTACAAGGATTTTTCTTTGGACTGCCAGCTCACAAAAAAAAAAAAAACCTGACACAGAGACTTATTATTAATTATGAAAGCTCGGCCTATAGCTTAGGCTTTTCCCACTAGCACTTACACACTTAAATTAACCCGTATTTAAAAATCTATATTCTTTTACATGGCTCAGTTGCCCTTCTTCTGTACTGCCCACCCTGCTCCCTCTATCTCTGGCTGGTGACTCTGCCTTTGTTTTTCCCAGAGGTTTTTCTGTCCAGAAGTCTCTGCTATACCTCCTGCATGCCTATTGACCATCTAGCTTTTTATTAACTCAATTAAAGTGACAAATCTTCACACAGTGTAAAGGAGTATTTCACAATAGATCATTTACTGCCAAGCCTGGTGACCCGAGTTTAAACTCTGGGACCCACATGGTGGAAGGAGAGAACCAACTCCTACAAACTGTCCTCTGACCTCTACTTGTGTGCTATAGCAAGAATATACTCCTCATCTCCTAATCTCTCTCTCTCTCTCTCTCTCTCTCTCTCTCTCTCTCTCTCTCTCTCACACACACACACACACACACACAGAGTCACTCCCCTGGGGCTGCAGAGGTGCTTCAGCAGTTAAGAACACTTGCAACTCTTGTAGAAGACCCACATGGAGGTCAACACCCACATGGAGGTCAACAACGGCCTGTAACTCCAGTTCCAGGGGATCCAATCTTCTGGTTTTCTCAGGCACTGCACGCACGTGGTACAAAGACCCACATGCAGGCAAAACAATATGTACATGTAAAATAAAAACAATTAATCATCAGCAACTCTCCTGGCTTCCCATCTTGTATAATAAAAGCCAAAGTAAGGCCACTGTGCCCCCTCCCTCTGTTCCATGAATTCTCTATCCACCTCTCCCTGCTCCAGGCTGTGCCAGTGTTTTGTGCTGTCCAGAGAATGACCTATAGTGAGTACACTATGAATGAGCTTAGTAAGTTTTTAGCAAGAAATAGAACCAATAGCAAGCAGCAGATAGGTAAGCAGACTCCATCAAATCTTCCAGCTCATGACATCCAGCAGAGATGAACTATAGTAGTTGATTGAGAGAGCTACCAAAGGAAATATCACCAAGTCAGAGGCTTACAAACACGAAGTGGAAGTCAACTAAGGAAATTGGGGCAGTTATCTGGAGTTTCTTTTTACAAATATATTTAAATTAAAATACAATCACATCATTTCTTCTTCCTCCCCCCATCTTTCTCATATCCTGTTTAAAAACTGAAAATAGCCTCTTCTTTCATACCATACACCCAACCACAGTTTCCCTACCTTCATTCCACCCACCAGCTGGAATTCTAATTGAGCTTTCTCTCCACGAAGGAATTGAACGTCTAGATTCCCATTCCCACTCAGGCATCTTTTTGTCATGGACTGTTAATTCTGTTGGAAATGATTTACCTCCTGACTGTTATCAGGACACAGTGTCTTTATTCTTGGACTGGATGGCTGTTCTCTTCTCTCCTTGCCATCCCACCCCAGATAAGGGTCTGAGAGGACACTGTGAGACACACATACTTGGATCTGGAAATGGGGTGGGAGGACATTGCTTCCAGAGCTAGGTTCTTGGTGAGTTTAAGCAGCACATGACAATTTATCAATATAGTGTGGGTAGCCATACTGTCTGTCAATATCCAGACCACTTCACTATCCTTCTCCATTCAGAGTCTTTGCTCTTTTTTCTTTTCCTGGAATGTGCTTCCACCAAAGGTCAGCCTGGTTCTCTTTCTCACTTCCCTCAAGCCTTTCCACTCAGCATCACCTGATCGTAAGTATAAGCGGGTTGACTCCAGGTTCTTCTCTGTTCCTCATCCGTTTTCTTTATAATTTCCTGTGCATTGGTGTTTTGCCTGCATGTATGTCTGTGTGAGGGTGTCAGGTCCCCTAGAACTGGAGTTACAGACAAGTGTGAGCCACCATCTGTGTGCTGAGAATTGAACCCAGTCCTTTGGAAGTGGTGCAGTGTTCTTAACCTTACACCCATCTCTCCAGCCTCATTAGTTTTCTTTACAGTGTGATGCATGCATCACATAGTATTTTCTCATTTGTTTGCTATACATTATGTTCTCCTCCTGGAGCTGTGAACCACGGGAAGGTAGTGATTTTGCTACTACTATTGTTTTGTTGTGCTAGAAACGAGCCATATGTCTTGCACATGCTAGAAAAGAATTTTATCATTGATCTAGACTCACAGCTAAGGGACTTATTTCTTTCATATTCATAATTCCTGATTTTTCTTCTTCACACACACAAACATATATCCATATATATGAACATACATGTATATGTATATTTAAATATATTTATGTATATCAAGGTCTCATGCATCCTAGGCTGGCCTCAAACTCAGTATGCAACCTAGGATGACCTTGTACTTCTGACCCATTTGTCTTAGGCTCCCAAGTGCTGAGATGACAGATGTGTGCTACTATATGTACTTTATTCAGTCCTGGGATGGATGCATGTGAGGCATCTACAGAATGAGCTACACCCCTAGCCCTCATGCACATATTTTAAATGTACATTGTAATTAAATGATCGCTCAGTTTTCAAAAGTACCCACTATTCCATCTTGTGATTCCATCACAGTTCAGCCAAACAGTTCTCTATAAAAAAAAATTTAATTTTCATCCTTTGCTTTTACCAATCAAAGACACAAGGCAGAAATTTTGTTTCTTTAGCAGAGATGAGGGTGGATCCCAGGGTTTTGGACATGTGAGGCAAGCACTTAGTTCCCGAACTTCATGTACTACTGTCCCCATTCTCTTATGACAGTGTTTTTATGGTTCAGGTTGGTCTTGAATTCGCCAAGGAAAACTTGACCTACCATCCTCCTGCCTCACACTCCAGAGTGCTGGGGTTACAAGTGTGTACCCCATACCTAATTCAGAGCTTCATAATTTTCATTGACACTTTCATCATCATCATCATCATCAGACAGGGTATCATGAAGCTCACATTGGCCTTGAACTTCTGAACCTTCTCTCTTTATCTCCCACGTGCTGCAGTTACTGGCATGCTTCACCACGCCCAGTTTGATGTGGTACTGGACACTTTAATCAGCTCAGGGGTGGAGCCTGGTGCTTCAGACATGCCAGGCAAGCACTCTACCAATTGGGCACATCGCCAACCCAAATTCTGATTCTTTAAATTCTGTACTTAATGCCTTAGAGTATTAACACTTTCTTTCAGAGTGCATTGTCAATGAACAGTTATAGAAAAATCCAATCAACAACCAAAACAGGACCAACTTTTTTTTTTTTTTTAAAGATTAATTATTATTTGTCTCTCTGTGTGGGATATGTGCATACAGGGGTCCACCAGGACCAGGTCAGAAAGCCCTGGATCAGGATCCCCTAGAGCCGAGCTCACAGGCTGTTGAGTGAGGGTGCCAGAAGGTCCTGAACTCAGGTCCTCTGAAAGAGCAGCAAGCCCTCTTACACTCTGTCCCAGTCATCCCGCATGTCTTGTTTGTTGAACTCCTGATCTTCCTGCCTTCACCTCCCAAATACTGAAATTGTTGGCATGCGTCTAGCTGAGGAGACTAATAGGTGAAAAAAAAAAAAAAATGGTGAATGAACCTACAACGAAAGAAAAAGCATTCTATAAAGTGAATCGACATCAAGGCAACTGAAGGCTGTGCCCAGCCTTACCATCAGGGGGCGATGTTGGCGGCGGGCACTCGGGATCCACCGTGCTGCGCCGCTCTTGCCGTGCGCTTCCGAGGCTGCTCTGGGCCAGGCGTGGGGGGTGGGCAGGGCGAGTCATATGACCCGCTGGGTTTCCTGGCTCTGGCCGTCCTAGCCGCCCGCCTGTGTCCGCCCGAGTCGCGCCGGGGCCCCCGCCGAGGAGCCGTTAGTGGGTGCAGGGCCGCTAGCCGCTGGTGGGAAGCAGTGTTCGCTGTCGTCTGCACGCGTCCCCGCTCGCTGCCGGCCGCCGCCATGCTGGCGCTCATCTCCCGCCTGCTGGACTGGTTCCGCTCGCTCTTCTGGAAGGAGGAGATGGAACTGACCCTCGTGGGGCTGCAGTATTCGGGCAAGACTACCTTCGTCAATGTCATCGCGGTGAGCAGTCGTGTGCGGGCGGCCCGGCCGCCGTCCCGGGCTTGTCACCTCCCCGAGGGCCGGGCCGGGCCGCGCTTGTGGCCTTGGGAGGCGGTAGCTGGCGGGTCGGCAGCCAGACGGCCAGTTCCACTCCGCGTGTGGTGGGGGCTGTGCCTTTAACGCGGCTCGGAAAAGGCTACTCCGAGCCTGTTACAGTTGGCGGCCTTGGGGCTGTGGGCGCTGAAGAGTTAAACTCCAACCTGTCACTTGCTCACCCGGACCGGCTAGTCCGGCCTTCCCTAGAACGTCTGCGCGGGGGTTGGAGGTGGGGCGGGGGGAGAGCCACTCTGAAATCTCCACTTGGGACGGAGGAGTCCCATTGTGAGAGCAGGCGACCCGAGTGGGCGCCTCTGTGGAATGCCAGGGGGAGCCTTGGCGCCTCCAGTTCGCTTGGTCTTTGTCGCTTTGTCCACGGAGAGTCGAAGATCAAGTTGATGGCTTAGCTCACTGGTGGACGCTGTTGGAGAGACCATTCAGTTCCTAGTATTTATTAAGGCAGGGAGTAAGGGCGAGGCGAGTTTCTGTTTTCTCAAGAGTTGTTTCAAGCGAGTGGATAGATGGAGCTGCATTCAACGTAAAGTTAACTGCCCTGCAGGGTTTGGTCTTGAGATTCCCCCCCCCCCTCCTTTTGTTTGTATTGGGACGAGGCTTATGCACACTCAGGGAAATTTCCTTGAGAACTTAAATATAATGTGGTGGCTAATTCAGTGAGAGTGTGATTGTTGAGTTTTTTTGCTGTTCTGATTGGCTGGGAAAGGAATGGGAGTGAGTGATTTCTTGTCAGTGCTTGGAGCCCAGGAGTCACCGCGCAGTCTTAGGGCTGTCCTTACAGGGTTGAGCTGTACAATTGAAGAGAAGTGGCGGCAATTCTCAGACCTTGGAGAGAATTGTTGCAGAGTAGACAGCTGAGCTGTCTGACTGGTTTGGCCACAGGAATGATTCAGACACAGTGCCATGGGAGAAACTAGGCAACTTGTGATTCAAGTTTGTGTAGTAATAGAGCAACAGGCGTGAACAGGACCTGTAGAAAGAGAGGAGCAGAAACACACACTTCTTTTGGAAAAGGATAAATATAAGTATAAAGAAAATTTGTCGGCTTCATGTTTGGCTGCTTTTGTTTGGCTTTCCCTGCCAGATGTCTAATACCAGGCAGAACACACTTGCTTTCTTTCGTACTAGAACTTTTCTGTAGCCTTCAGTGTTCATTTTCTGTTATTTACCTGAGATAAGAATTGAAGTTTCCTTGGAAATCCTATCTCTAGGACAAGATTGAAACGGGGCATGTGGGTGTGTCAGCATGGTCAGTTATATTTGCTGTGGAGGAGTAGTAGTCAATGCAAGAACCTGCACCAGTGAGTAGAATTCAAGGGACATACTGCTTGCTTTCATGCATCTGTTGTCACCAGACAGTACAGTGTAATATAACAAGTCTGAACTTCTTGGTACGAAGCCCTGAGTTTAAAATCTGGATCTGTCACTTAGCAGCCTTGGGTCCTCTTTGAGTTGACTGTAGTTATCTATTAAATGCAGATAACAGCATATTTCTTTACCAAATTGCTCTAAGGGATAACTAGGAGAAGTAGGGAAGTAATAACTTGTTAATATTTGTAGTGGTTGTACTATTTAATGCAGACACAAGGAAATAATGAGAAAGGCATCAGCAGGGATCATCTCCTTTGCCTCTCAGACCAGTGTGGTCTGCAGTCCTAGACTTATGCCTTGTGGGAATAAAGCACCAGATGGCGCCCTCCTTTTACACTGGATTCTTTTAACAGTTATCAAGTGTCTGCTGTTGAATTTAGTGACCTTCTGCTATCAATCAATATTGGAGTATTAGTTTTGAATTATGGTGTAGATAGCCTCCTAAAAAAGAAATTCCCACAAAAGAGGCTATGTTTAACTTACTTTAATCATTCCAAATTCTATATATAATAAAACATTATGTAATGTGAAACATACCGACAAACATATACAAATATACATGCAAATAAAATGATGATCTGTCAATTAAAATGCTAACTTTCTAGACATGGTGGTGCTTACTTGTAATTCCAGCACTTAACAGGCTGAGGCAGGATTATTGCTACAACTTTGAGGGTTAGCTTGATCTACTATAACAGGTAACCAGGCCAGCCAGGGCTACACAGTAAGACCCCCCCCCCCAACACACACACACAAAGAACAAAAATAATTTAAGAAAAAAATCTAGATAGTGGTGGGGTTTAAAATGCCAAGAAAGGGGGCTGACTCCTTAGATAGGAGCTTACTTTGTGTCTCTCTTTAGCCATTCTTTGTTCTTTTGAGGCACGGTTCCACTTGGTGGCCCAGGCTGTCCCTGAACTCACTAAGTAGTCCATGCTGGCCTTGAACACATGGTGCTCAACTGCTGCTCAGCTCTCCCTAATTTAAGTTTCAGTATGTCTCCCTAAGAATTTGATGACAATTTAATTGATGTCACCTAGTTTACAAAGATTGTAAAGCTGAGTTTCTTGCAGCTCTTGGTCCAATTCCTGAAAGTTGGACTGCTCAAAAAACAGATTCTCAGTTTTTTTCCCCCCTGCTTTTAAGCTTTGATTATTCAGAGACAGAGGTACCAGCTATTCTCTTTCATTTGTTCTAGATTTTATTGAATGAAACAGCCCTAGACTTAATTTTCTGATGTTAGAAATGAAATACTGTCCAATTACTGTGTTAACGGTGGTACAGTTATTGCATAATCAGTCATATGTCCTATATGTGTAATGTAGCGTATTGTTGAGTAATCATTTACTGGGACACTTAGATGGGTTCTAGCATAGTTATTAAGAAATATGTACTTGAATTTGCAAAAAATTATAGGGTAAATTCTTGTAAGAATTAAGTATTTTAAAAATGTATAGTGCCATATAAATTTGTGTACAGTTCTGCAAATTGTGATTAGTTGAAAAAGTTAATCCATGGATAAGTTTATTACTGCAGAGAATTAAGAAAAAGACACTTGGCAGGATTGAGGAAGCCTAAATCTAGAGCGTTGTGTTTTGTGATGAGCCTTGGTTGAAGCTCAGGCTGGCCTCTGTCCTTCGTCCTCCTCTGGTGAACTAATACTACAGGCCTGGAACACCATGTCTACCTTAGTTGTCTGAGAATTTGTAGAATCTTTTAAGTCATCTGATTTTACCCTTGTTTTTTACTGATGTGGCTAGGAAAGCCACATAGGCCAAGCATTTGAATGAAAAAGCTGACAGGTAACTGACAATAGAATCAGGGCTCAGGGCAATGTATTTTTTACTTTTCTTATCTCCTCGTTAGATCTACCTTAGATTAGGACCATAGAGTAGAGAACTAGGAGATCTTGATCATTTACAAATCTTTTTCTAAGGGTGGTGACGGGGCACGCCTTAAGTCCCAGCACTCAGGAGGCTGAGGCAGGTGGATCTCAACGAGTTCAAGGCCAGCCTGATCTGCAAAATGAATTCCAGGGCAACTGGGACTATAACATAGAGAAACCCTTTCTTTGTTTCTGGAACTTGAAGGATGGCTAAGCCATTGCTGCTCTTCCAGAGGACTTGAATACAGTGCCCATGGCAGGAACCTCACAATTGCCTGGAAATCTAGGTCCAGGGGACCAAATTTCCACTTCTTGCCTCTGAGAACACTGACTCACACAAATACTTTATATGTTTTAAAAGTGGATAGTGTCATAAAAATTGTATACTAATGCAAATTGTGGTTGAGTTGTGCACAGCTTTGGCACACAGGCACACATACACATAACTAAAATAGTCTTTCCTTATATAGAGAGTATAGGGATATTTTGATTTCCTGTGCTGGTTTCCTTTATTGTTTATGTGGTGTTAGTAGGGGTTTGTGCAGTGCTAGATGATACTCATCAGTCTACTGCATCCCCAACCCCCAATCTAGTCATCGAATAGTGACATAAATTAGGAGAAACCCTTTCTTTATGGAAGGTGAGGGCAGTGGAAAGTTATGCATACTCATGCAGCAACTGAGAGTACACATTGCTATTGAGCTACCTTTAACATTTCAAAGCAGAAATAATTTTGAGTTCTTTTTATTTATAGACAAGTTGACACTGTATCCATGCTGACCTTGACTTCCCTCATAGCACAGGCTGGCCTCAAACTTGTAAAAACCCTACTGCTTTCTGAGTATTGGGGTACAGATATATACAATCATACTCGGTTTTAATCTTTAGTTTTGTAACGTGACTTGTTCAGTTAATTTGGGACAATAGTGGTAAAGCCAGTTTAAAAATTGCTGTCCCTTAAGTTCAGATGTTTAATAGATCTAAAACTACACTGTAGTGGCTAGTCTTCTGTGTGTCTTAGGTTCATAGTTAAGGAGCCTGGGGCATGCTGCCACGAAGCAGCTCTTCAGGGTTCTTTGCTTCCATCCATCCTCCATCATTGTTCTATGTTATCTAAGACTTGAAAACCCAATGTTCTCATTAAAAATCCATTTTCAATGACTGTGTTTAGAGACTTTCATAACTTGATAAACTCCCCAAGTTTCTTACAAGATTGTCACTGAACATGGAGGCAGAGCGGATTGTCCCTGTATATTATATAAATTTCAGTTTTGGAAGCCCTAGAGAGCTTCCCTTATTATTTTTTAAGGAAAATTTATTTATGCACGTGTTTGGTTATATGCACATATGTGTTTGCCAGTGAGTTGGGCACAGGGTTTGTTATTGGGGTGCTGGGATCTGAACTCTGGTCTTCATGACTGCATGCCAAGTACTCTTCACCACTAAGCCATCTCTGCAGTCCTGTTTCTTGAGGTTAATAGAGGCCACTTGGAATTTAAAGGGCTGTGTAGAGATGATACAAAAGAAACCACTTGTATTTCCATTATCTGAGATGAACTCAAGCCAGTGTTTCAAAGCATTTCTGTCTTATCTTTTTCAAGTGTGTATCCAATACCATTTAAGAATTTTGGCTGGGTGTTGGTGGCCCACACCT